TGTGTGTGTGTGTGTGTGTGTGTGTGTGTGTGTGTGTGTGTGTGTGTGTGCATGTGTCTGTGTCTGTGTCTGGAATTCAACCTGCGGCCTTGTGCCTGCTATGTAAGCACACTACACTGAGCTATACCCCAGGCCTTGAATAGTATATTTTACCCAGTCCAATCTATTTAAAACTTCTTATTTTGCATGTATCCTTCTGTATCCATAGAGTTAAATCTAAAGAGACTACTGACTCTTATTGTGAGGTAGAATGTGTTCATTAGGTATTTTTATACTACATGAGTTTTTATCATGAGCTGTCCACCTCGATAATTATAACGGCAACAATGACTTCTATGCCTGACCCATGGAGCAGACAGATGTCTGGCATCTAAGCCCCTCCAGGTTAGTGGGCTTGCCATTGGGCTAGGTACTGGAGCTTCCACTTGCTGTGTCCTTGCCTGGCCTCTTTCCTGATTTGACACACGGATGTACAGAGAACCTGTGACACATGCCAAAATTGGAGGTGATGACAAGCCCCAAACCACATTTGTTCCATTCCTCCCAGCTCCTCGAGGCCTTTGCAATCGCCACAGTGAGAGCTCCAGTTTCTTATCTATACCGAGCAAGAGTCAAAAGTTCTTGTGAGTGTGATTGCAGAACGGGGGCTGGAAAATCTCCTGATAATGCTGAAATTCCTTTGAAAGGGTGGTGCTAAGAATGGGGTCGGAAGAACTTTGTGGCGTTGGCACTTTGTGTACTGCTTAGTTGGACAACAAACTGTAGAAGAATGGGTGATGTCAAGTGTAAGAAATGGATCAGGATATTCATATAGACCCATCTTGGCTGATGACCTCTGTGTCCAACATAACTTCTCTGTTGCCCTAGAAAGACGACCCAGGGGACAGAGGAGAAGTCTGGAGGTGGGTAGGAGGTGCTGAAGGACTTGCAAAGACACAAGATATTAGACATGAAAATAAAATACACGTACTAAGAAAATAGGAGTCAGGCTGAAGTCTCTGAGGTAGATTTTTGGCTTTTCTAGTGGGTGGTGCCTTGGTTGGGTGGCTCCTTGGCCGTGAAATTCAGTGATGATAGCTAAATCTGACATCTAGGAATTTAAACTTAGTAGCTGGCCTCACTTCTCCTTATTAGCGAAGCTTGCTAAACTTTTTGTGCCATGTGCCCTGCTTTATCTTTGAAGATGAAGCATCTGGCAAGCTGTCATTTCGATTCTCTCGTGCCGGGAAGCCCAAAGGAGAGGGGCAGTCATTCTGCATTATATTCCAGCAGCCTCACAGCACGTCCATTCCTTCTGCCTTTCCTGATTTATTTTCAAAAGGACATAGGCTCCAGAGAAAGCGTCGAGAAATGACTCAGCCTGGAAATAAAGTTTGGTGCACAGCGCTAAGCTTTGATACATCATCCGTTTTCCCCAACAACAGACTTCTTTTTTTAAATACATGTTCTCATGTAGAAAATCTAAATTATTTAAAATACATTTTCACTCTTCCTTGAACTCGTCCTACACTGGAAAGCGAAGCCATGTGCTTCATCATAGGGACAATGCTTAGCAGTGTCTCCAAAACAGCTCTCTGATGCTCCAAGCCACTGATCCCAGCTTGGTTTTTCTCTCGCTCAGGTACAGAGGTGAGTTTCTCCAAATCAGCGGATGCATTTGCCTTTGAAGAGGACAGCAGCAGCGATGGGCTTTCCCCAGATCAGACACGGAGCGAAGACCCCCAGGGCTCTGTGGGATCGCCCCCAGATATCAAAGCAGCTGAGGCCCCTTTGGCTGGTCCTTTGGACACAATCCAGGTAAAACAGACTGCCCCTGTCTTACAATCTTGTCAAGTCACTTAGATTTCATATGAACACTTCTATGGCTGGTGTTGCTTGCAGCCCCTGTCTGCTGCTGGTGGTGGCTTTATCCTGAGTCAGGGTACTGCTGTATAGACCCTGCTTTCAAGCTCAGGACCTTCCTGGATGAGACTGAGTGATGGAATTACAGTGTATGCCACCACACCAAAGTTACCTGATGGTGTATTTTCTTAATGTCCCTTCCCAACCTATTAGGTGCAGGCACTTTGGGCCACAGAAACATGGAAAACCCTCACAATGTTAGCTTTCAACTTACCTTGTAAGCAAGTAGATAACTTTACCTCCATTTCATGCATCAGGTAAGTTGATTTAGTGAGATTACATGATCAATAGGCCAACAATGTCCAGGCAGGACTGATATCCAACTCATCAGAGGGTCTCAGGGCATGGGAAGAGGAGGTGCTGACCATCAGCAAAGCAGGAGACGCGGGCTGCTTCTATCCTAGCAGGAGTCTACCATGCAGCCTGAAGTCAACACACACACACACACACACACACACACACACACACACACACACACACACACTCACACACACTCACACACACACTCTCACACTCACACACACACACATCCCATACACACACTCACACACACACACTCATACACAACACACTCACACCATACACACTCACTCACTCACACACACACACTCACACACACTCACTCGCTCACACACACACACACTCACACACACACACTCTCACACACATTCACACACACCCCATACACACACCCACACTCACACACACACTCACACACACTCACACTCACACACACTACACCACGCACTCTCACACACTCACACAGAAACACTCACACATACACACACACACCATACACACACTCACACACACACACCATACACACATACACTTACACACACACTCACACACACACACACACTCACACACACACACACACACACACGCGCGCGCCCCATACACACACTCACACACTCACACCATACACACATACACTCTCACACACACACACTCACACACACTCACACACACACACATACACACACACACACACACACACACAAACTCACACACACACACACCATACACACACTCAGCTCAGTCCTCATTCTTTCTGGACAAACCCACACATACTTAACAGTACAAAAATATGAAGCACACTTATAAAAAATAACGATGGGCTTAATAAAACACATCTCTGGCCCCGATGTTCATGCTGGGCCCATAGCTACACTGGACACTTCATATCTCCCCACATGAGATCATAGTCCCTGACAGATAAGTATCACTGATGCCAAGGACCACAGACAATGGACTATTGCTCCATAAGGCTAAGTAGCTGTGTGGATTCCAGGATTCGACTGATTGGACGGGAATTAAACATCTATGCTGACTATCCCTTACCCAAAAAAAACGCTCGGAACAAGAGTGTTTAGATTTAGAATTTATTTGTATCTATTCATGATAATATGTCTCAGGGACAGAATCTAAGTCAAAACACAAAATTCATGTATGTCTTAGATATGCATACATACCCACAGCCTAAATGTAATTTTATATACTACTTTTTATAATTTTCGTGCACGAAGCTAAGTTCGTGCTAAGCAGTGGCATTTTCTTCCCATGGTTTCTTGTCAGCCTCAGAAGGTTTCAAACTTTGAACCATTTTAGATATTGGAATCTTGGATTAGAGATGCTCAACTTGTATTTGAAGTTATTTTCCTACCGGAATGTCCATCCAGAGGAGAAGTTTGCAGTAATGTTTATGTAGGGTCCAGTTTTCCCGAAACCATGATGGTCACTGGTCACTGTCATTCCTATCTCCACTCCATCAGAGCAAACTTAAAGCTGCCAAGAAGAAAATGTGACATGGGAGGGAAAGGGAGGTGTATGAAGCAGGGCTGAATGTGTGTTCCTTCTGCAAGAGCTCAGCATCAAAGCATCCCCCTTGCCCGGCACACCCATGCCGAGCTTCACAGTCAAACATCCCTGATAACATCAGTCTGTCAGACCACTTGCACAGATTCTTCTGACAGCAAATTCCCTGGCTTCTGATTGAACAATAGTCTTGAGGAAAAGACAAGTTCTTTTCTACTCGCCCCGCCCCCCCCCAGCAAAGGGGAAAAAGGGGGCCAAGCACTGAGCAATGCAGAGAAAATGCAGGAACAGCTTCATGTTTTTTCTCTCAGCAACCATGTTTGACAGACAAGGACACTGAGGCTCTGGGAGAAAAGCAGCCGACTGGTGATAGATGCCAGGGTTCAGGGGAGAACTGAGAAGGTCAGTTCTGGCCCCCAGCCCTTTGTGTTGAGTCATAGCCTAGGAATGTAGGAAAGGAAGAGAAGAGAGTTATTCCTTTCATGGAACATTCAGCAGAAAGAAACATACCTCTCATAAAAACATGTTTCTTCAAAAGACACACACAAATACATGGATCCATGTAAATGCATACATACACATGGACAAACGCACGCATGCATATATTAACTTGCTCCTGCGTTCTGGCAATTCTTTCCCTTTCATATTTATCTGCTATAATATACATTGCTGTAACTTGCATATAAAAACATAGGCACAGACACACATATACACTCAGATGTGTACTGATGTACACACAGATATTTTTATATTTATATCCCAACATATGCATGTACATGAGTGTAAACATGTACACACACATATAATAAACTACAATCAACACATACAAACATGTGTCTGCATGTATGATCATGCATATACAAACATTTAATCAGCACACATGTACACACACATGTATGAATGAATGCATGCTCATGTCCAGGAATGTGCTTGTAGGTTCTTCTACACACACACATACACACACACACACACACACACACACACACACACACACACACACATATATATATGTGTGTGTGTATATATATATATATATATACACAAAGACATGCACATATGCATATACACAGAGATATGTGTAAACATATATGCACCCATATATGCCCAACAAAGAGATGTGTACATTTACAAGTACACATGGATGCAGTCCCACATATTCATAATTTTGTCTCTATACACACATGAACATATACCAACATTCTATATTTACACACACACACTTGCACACCTACTTAGGCATTATTCATACTTAAGACATTTTCACCATTTGGCTTGTTCTTTTTTTTCTCAGAACTCTCTGCTTTTCCTTTCTTTCTCATCTCATTCTTATGTAGAGTACTCCTTCAAGGTGACCAGATGTCCCAATTTGTCCAGATCAAGTCAGAAGTTCACCCCACCTTCTGGAATTGCCACTGAGGTTACCCATTTATCTCTCAGTGGTACCCTGGGGGAGGTGACAGAATGGGATGGCCTCCTGCAGGGAGCACCTGACATTACCAGGACAGAAAGCAAGGGTGAAAACTGAGTGGCACAGCCCCTCTTATTCTTGTGTGTTAGTAACAGTACAATTTGGATTTCAGGATCTTGCTCCTGGCTCAGAAAGTGACAAGAATGACGCAGCCTCCCAGCCAAGCAACCAGTCAGACTCTGGGAAGCAAGGGCTTGGAACCCTCAGCACCTCTATCCCTGTGCATGCGCACTGGGGAAACCTGCATGTTTCACTTTGGGAATACAGCTGAACCAGCCGTGTATCTGGTTGGGATTTCATTAGCCAAGCAAGGAAGTACATGCCTGTAATTCTAGCATTCTGAAGCAGGGGGAAAATGGAATAGTGAGTTCATGGCCAGCCTGGGATACATAGCACAAAATAAAATAAAATAAAAATGAAGATTTCCCAAATTCACCCTGAGGAAAGACACAGCTGACTACAATGCACACAGAACTTGTAAGGGCCATAAAACACATCCGTAGCCATTTTATTTATGTGAAGGGAGTGGCACTGAAGCCTTGGGCATTGCAAGAGCTCTAACACATGTGGGAAATGAGCATGGGAGGAGGGCTTACACTCACAGGAGACAGCCAGCAGTTACAACTGTATTTCATACTTAATTTCCTCAGCATTACCTCCAGCTGTTCCGAGAGCACTGTCTCCTAATTAGCCGCTAGATAGTCCTTTGTCTTTCTTATAATACTTGGCACTAGCTAACTTCTATTTGAGTTGTTGAAAACATGCTATTTTTTTTTAGCTGTAGGGCCACCTTTAGTACCTGCTGACATGCCTCTTGGGGGATTTCTTTAGGTTATAAGTTAATGTGATAATAGTCAATAACGAAGTAGTAGTTTTATCATATGGGTGGATGGCATTGTGCACATTAGATGGAGAGGAAAATGGTTCCCATTATTGGTAAAGATGTCTATAAAGAAGAATTACAGTAGTGTTGCTAGTTGAGTATTCAAATGTTTCACAATTCAAATTAGTAAAGCTGTCAACATCCCCATACCAAGAATGTGTGCTGGGAGCTCAGAGGAAGGACAGACAACTGAAAAAAATCCATCCCCATGCAAATTCCACTGGTCTATGGGGCTGCTTGTTTATTGATGCCTGCCCAGCTCTTCTAAATGGTCAACACCTAAACACAAATGGATGAAGATGCATCACCTCTAGGGTCAACTAGAGCAGAGGTTCTCAACCTATGGGTCGCAACCTCTTTGGGGGCCAAACAACACTTTCACAGAGGTTTCCTATGACCATCTGCATATCGGATGTTTACATTATGACTCATAACAGTAACAAAATTACAGTTATGAAGTTACAGCAAAAACAATTTTATGGTTGGGCCCACCACAACATGAGGAACTGTATTGAGTGGTCACAGCATTAGGAAGATTGAGACCAACTGGTCTAGACACATCTAGAAGGCTTCTCAGAAGGAAGCTGCTGAGCTTCTCAGCCCAATTGATTTGACATGATTCTCACAGGGCTGGAGAGAGATTTCATAGACAACACTTGGAAAAATCCTGTCTAAGCGGAAGGTACCAGAGAATCTCCAACAGGCAATATCACAAACCAGCAAGAACATTGCCCCATCCTCTAGTCTAGCTGGGTTTTCAGGTCATTATCAACCACGATAGTGTCCTGTGTAAGTATGTGCAGAGAAGGTTTGGGCAGGTACTTCTCTAGGGATTCAGAAGTTTTCAGGAATCACATGAAAATGCTCTCAATGCTGTTCGTCATTAGGAAAGTGCAGAGTTGAAGCCCCACTGAAATGCCGTGCCATTAGCATTAGGATAGCTTCCATCAAAACAATGTGGAAATAATGAGTGTTGACAAAGATATAGCAAAGCTGGAAGCCCCCCACACAGCAGGTCTGAATGTAAAATGCTTAAACTGCTGGAGGAAGGTTTGCCATTTCCTCGGTGAATTAAACATAAATTTATCATGTGGTCCAGCAATTCCACTCCTAGGTATATGCCTGAAAGAACTAAACATAAATCCCTGAATCTTCAAAGCCATGCCATTTGCCACATTTGCAGGTTTGAACCAATCCAAATGCCCACCAAATGCATGAATAAAGTCATGGTATAGCCATGGCACTAAATATTATTCAGGTATATAAATGGATGCCATATCAACACCTGCCACAACATGAAGTCAGGCACAAAATGTGTTCATCTGGGTCTCATGTATAAAATGATACAAGATGGAGATTGGAGTTGTAGGTGCTGGGGAGAGTGGCGAGTGTGGAGTAATAATTTAGTGGTAGAGCATTCATTTGGGAACAATTGGAATTTTATGGAACTGGATAGATCTCTGTGAGTCTGAGGCCAGCCTGGTCTACTGAGCGAATTCCAGGACAGCCCTTAAAGCTACTGAGAAACCCTGTCTCGAAAAACCAAAATGAACAAAAAATAAAAATGTTCCTCAATAACTAAAGAGGCTTTCCTGCCCAAGTAGTTGGTAGCCGAGGCAGGGGAAGGAGGTTGGATTTTATTCTCCCTCACTTTCTCAGTAGGTGATGTGACCACTGTCCTGTACCCTCAACATGCTGAGTTGCTGAGTGAGGAGGGCACACAAAGCTTCCCAAGTTGGAACCAGCTTTGAAAATGAGCTGCAGTCAGACAGAAAGGTTTTTGCAGGTGACAGCAAGCTGAAGGAGAAAGAGGAAAGAGCTATGCATAGGCGGGAGAAGAGAGCCAGGAACTGTAATGAAGAACTGTGTCCTATAGCCCCCATGGGACTGTGCTTTGCCTTTCAGAGGATCACCAGCACATTGGCTGTAGGCTGCTGTGGTGCATGCCATTTGGTGAAAGGCTGTGTGTGTGTGTGTGTGTGTGTGTGTGTGTGTGTGTATCAGTGTCACATTAGGAAGCCTAGCAATCTCTAGCCACAGGGCATCCCTTCCTTTTCCAGTTGATGTATCCTAGCCTGGGACTTGAAAATCACAGTGGATCCATCCCTGATCTGCCTTTAGGAAAATGCATGTGGGTGCCTTCTATGTCCTGTGAGTTGTAAAGAGAAAAACAAACATGGAACTAGACGGAGCTCAAGTATTCCCTGTGCTTACAAAAAGAATAAAACCATACAGTTGTGTTAGGTCAATAATGTTTGTCACACACTAGCTTCTGGCATGTTCCTGTACCCGTGCTAATGTAATCTAGGGGAACTAAAGCATCTCCAGGTCCCCTGAATCAACAACAAGACAACCCTCCCCCTGGCAAAGCAAGTCTGAGGAGATGAGGCCTGAACAGCAGCTGAGCTGGAGGGAGCTGGTCACCAGGCCCTGCAGAAAATCACCTGGTACAGAAATATTATCAACTGATTAATGAGTAGGGAAATAAAAAGTCACCAAACTCACAGAAATACTCCAAGTCATTATCCACTAGTCTCCAAGAAGAAGACTCAAAAACTAAAAGTGCCTGCACTGATAGGATGTTTGAGTCAGAGTAAAGAACACTGTAGGCTGCTTGGAGGTCACAGGCAAATGTGGTTTTTGTGGTTGAAGTCTGGAGGTTGTGGCTGGAGACTGTGCCTCTCAGCTATTCAAGAGCTCCCTCTTCTGTACAATTTTGGAACTACATGCTCCTTCCAACTTGAAACCCATGCTTTGGCTTCCTTTCAACCACCTGTAATAAAAACAGGTTTGGATTTTTTTTTTCTACTCAATGATAATAGACTTATTGCTTCCTAATATAAGAAAGACTTTTGACTTCCAGAGAAGGTTATGCATATAATTATTCTACAAGAGGACACTTGCTACTTTTATGATCTTAACAATAACAAAACCCATGGTGTGTGTGTGTGTGTGTGTGTGTGTGTATACAAGGCTCTATACCACAATATACACATGCATAGCATACCATAGCGTATATGATATATGTGGAGTTCAGAAGAAAACTAGTGGAATTCAGTTCTTCCCACCATTATGGATTCTTGGAATGAAACTCAAGGTTTGGCAGCAAGCGCCTTTACCTATGAAGCTGGCTTCTATGATTATCTTTTTATAGTCTTTATATGGAACACTATGATGCAAATTAAATGATACTTTGCTCCTCTTATCTGTGATGAAATTTAGATATATTAAACATATGTAATGACATCATATTCACACATTTCTCTTAATCCCCAAAGTTGCCCCTTTATCTCCCCTCACTGTGGGCAGATAATAGTGAATCCTGGAAAGGGTGTAGTGGGTGGGTAGCCCTCCCCATGGTAAGGAATCATTATTTCAGAGGGTGTGGCTTTCTGCCATGCATGAGCATTTTGGTAAAGCTGAGAGGAAAGCAAGTGTGCATGTGTTTGGGTTTGAGAATCACGTTCTGGATCTATAGAGACAATGTTCACTTTATCTAAGCCCAATGTCCTTAACAAGTCAGCTTACTATGTGTTTAACTTGAGGTGCTTGCAGGCACTATCACAAGAGATTCCCACATCAGAGTGCTAAGCTATGTATAGGTTTTACCTAAATCACTGAAGCTCAGGCTTCCATTGGACTCCACTCCTGGAAAGTTCCAAGAGCCCCTTGTATGTGCCTATGTGCAGTGAAGGTGAGGATTTCATGGCAGAGCTGTCCACCTGCTACATGACCTCTATTGGGAACTATGCACCATGCCTTTGCTGTATTTCCAGGATTTGAGAAAAAAACCTCCTCACCACCATCACCTAAAATCCAGGCCGTGTCTCCCTTCTCTTTTCAGTCCAAGTCTTTGGGTGAAACCAAAGGTGAAGAAGCTTAAATACCACCAGTACATCCCCCCAGACCAAAAGGCAGAGAAGTCCCCTCCACCTATGGACTCCGCCTATGCTCGGCTGCTCCAGCAACAGCAACTATTCCTGCAGCTGCAGATTCTGAGCCAACAGCAGCAGCAGCAGCAACAACAGCAGCAGCAGCAACAACAGCGGTTCAACTACCCTGGGATACACCAAACACACCTCAAGTGAGTACAGTGACCGGGGTTGGAGGTTTCTGGGTTTCTCTTTGTGAGGCCTGCAGAGTCAGCTGCTTGGGACTACATCATGTCCTTGTCTGGCATGTTTGGAGCATGACTCTCTTTAGAAACCATGCACACATTTTCAGGACCATGAGCTGAGAGGAAGCAAATAAATCAAGGTACTTTGGAGAAGAGGGAAACTCCTAGCATGTCCAAACTAAACTGTGGAATGTCTAAGGATACAGAGTTGGCTTTGCTGGCAGTTCGAGTTCACTGATAAAGAGCTAAGTGGCAGCTTTGGAGATTGACCCCTGAGCCCAGGCTGGGCACCTATATTGCTAGGTCCTATTCATATTCCAGGTGAAAAACATCCTCCCAAATACAGTTAGCATAAAGATTGTTTCACCTGTCTTTGGCCACCCAAATATATCCAAAGCTGAGCATGATCAAGATTCAGATGGCATGCACAGACCCCTCCAGAACAGCGCCTCAGTGAGGTCATGGGTGGACATGCATGCTCCACTATGCCACAGTCTCCATCACTCCTCTCTGTGTCCTCCAAAAGAAATTGGGAGAGTTTCTGCAAATGGCTGTCTAGTTCAGGTTATTGTTTCTTCCCTCCCATCCTCTTCTGCCGATTTGTCAGTTGCCTGATTCCTGTAGGCAATTACACTGTGACTTGTTCCAAGTTTCCCCACATAGGTCTGATTGTATTGTGACTCTTTGTTTTACAGAGAGCCAAACGAACAGATGGTCAGAAATCCGAATTCTTCCTCAACACCACTGAGCAATACCCCTCTGTCCCCTGTCAAAAACAGTCTTTCTGGACAAACTGGTGTCTCTTCTCTCAAACCAGGCCCCCTTCCAGCAAACCTGGATGATCTCAAGGTATACAATTTGATCTATTTTTTTCTTTTCTTTAAAAAACAAAAACAAAGAAAACAAGAACAGATCTATGTTGTCACTAACATCTTTGCCACCTGATTTCTTCAGTAAAAAAGTAGAAGATGGAGAAAGTGTGGGATAGATCTAAGGGTGTTGGAAAATTTATGGTGTCATGTTCAAACCCAAACCTGCAGGTCCTGCCTCAGCCTTCCCAGGCTATTCCTCTGCCCTTTTCTGCACCTTAGACTCCTTGTTAGCATAAGTGAGTTACTAAGTGTCAGTCAGGGTAGAGCTTGGCATTGAGTAGAGGTCTGAGACTTATAAAGCTTCTAGAATGTTATAAAGCAATGACAAATTTCAGGATGAACTTTTTGGCAGTCTCTGGTGAAATAGGAAAAATAGAAAGCACGGGAATTGCTTTTCAGGTAGCAAATCCATGTAGCTAATGTGTCCATATTTCTTCCTAAGGGTTTTGAATTTTAAAGTAGCCTTTCCACTAGAAAAATGCTGACTATCCTGATAGAAAGTGGGTGGTTTGGGTTGCTTCTTTTTGTTCCATACAGATGTTGTTAATAAGGATCTTGATCCTCACTGAATAAGAAACAAGGTTGGTAACCCACTGTCAGTAATATAATTTAAAACAATGCCCTGGTCTTTTATGTTCCCAAATCTGGGAACATCTGCCCTGAAGTGACAGCTCATTAAATGGCATGTGCACGCTAGCAAGTGATTACAGATCACAGACCACAGGGATCTACATTCACTCAAATGATTTTGGATTTCTAATTGAACCTGATATGTTTCACAGCAAGCCTCAAGACTAATATATTCACCCTTCTGTCCAGTATCAGCGTGGACTGATCAGGATAGACGCAGTTTCTGCAGTGTATGAACGTTACCCACACCCTCATCATGTTGTCAGAGATGACACTTGCTTGTCTGGTTCCCGCTCTACCTACTGCTCTCCAAAAACCATCTTGAATCCTTAAAGGTCCTCATAGCATTCATTGTGCCAATCCTGGCCATTCCTTCATTATCAGTCCCCATTATTACCCTCATTTCTATCCTTAACCCTCAGCTAGCAATCTGTTTTTTCTTTGGGGGGGCATCAAGATGGAGGTGAGATGTCAGTTATTACAGTTGAAGGATATCCCGTGGCTGTCAAGAAACGATAAGATACGTGCTACATGTTGATATCCATGTTCCTCTGTTCCTTATACAGGTTAAAGAGGCTTGTTTCTGTCTGTCATTCACACACCTAGACAGAGATGCTAAACTGATAATAATACTCTTTGGACCCATGCAGTCACTCCCCTATATTCCTCAAGTCATAAGTCCACAGATATAAAAGAGTCCATTTTACCTGAAAGCATTACGCTAAGTGAAATAAGCCAGGTGTTGTGGTTCAGCTTACCTAACACTTGAATAGGCAGATTCGTATAGACAGAAAGTAGGATAGAAGTTACCAGGACCATTCCAGAAAGACCATAGGGAGTAATTGCTTAATGAGGTCATAGTTTGAAACTGGAATGATGAAAAAATCCTGAGGATAGATGTCAGTGTGGATATGCTTGCTGAAGCTAAACTATGTAGTCAGCAATGGCCAAATGGTAAACTTTGTGTTTACTTTACCTTAGTAAAGTTATCATTTGCAGCTAAGTCATTAAAGCAGAAAAGTCCTGAATCATGTAGGACTGGAAAGACCCAGAGAAAACATAGTCTAGAAGTTCTGGTGGCATTAGGCAGGGTC